GTGTATTTGCCACGACGTCGCTGGAGTACTTAGGGCACGAACTGGGGTGCGACGGAGTACGTCCTCTGGAGAGGTTGGTGGCGGCAGTCCGCAAATTTCCGCAGCCGAAAGACGAGACGGAGGTCAAGAGGTTCGTGCACCTCGCCGGCTACTACCGGCGGTTCATCAGCGGGTTTGGATCGCACATTGCTCCACTAACGAAGCTGTTGCTGAAGGGTTCGATCTGGGAGTGGACAACTACGCAACAGACGGCATTCTCGGCTGTGAAGAAAATCTTGACGACGCGACCACTGTTGGCGTACCCCAACTTCAGCGTGTCATTTAGGCTGGAGACCGACGCGAGCAAGACGGGACTGGGGTCTTGCTTGATGCAGGACGGTGGCAGCGGTTGGCGACTGTAGCGTATGCAAGTAAAGAAAAACAGTCAGACGGAGCCCAACTACGGGATCACTGAACTGGAGTATGCGGCGGTGGTGTGGGCTATCAAGATGTTCAGACCATACCTATACGGGCGGCGCTTCACCCTCGTCACCGACAATTCGGCGCTCAAATGGCTCATGACCAGTCCCAACTTGACTGGCAAGCTGCACCGGTGGGCTTTGGTGTTGCAGGAGTACGAGTTCGAGGTCCAGTACAGACCGGGGAGTCAGAACGTGGTGGCGGACGCCTTGTCCAGGGCACCCGTGACAGCTTCCGTGCAAACGGCAGTGGAACGGCGACAGAGAGTGCGGCAGCGAAGAGCGGCACTTTCGGCGGCAGCCAGGGGGCAGATGCGTCAGGCGCAGACCAGTGATGAACGCGTCTATAGTGAGTCGGTTAGTGATAACAGGAGCGCTGCGGAAGACAACGGCGGGATCACGAACGAGGATGTGACCACAACGGGGACGACGACCAAGAGTGTCAACCGAGACGTCCCTGCTCACGACGAGGTAGCCGTCGCGGTGAGAGATGCGATGGACAGCATGCTGGACGCTGTTGCGGTGAGTACAGCACCGGGAGATGCGAGAGGAGCGAAGTCGGAAGACGTGAAGGACGAGAGCTCAGCGATCCCGCGGACGAATGGAGGGTCAACAGCAACAAAGCAGAAAGCAATAGTTCCGGGACAGAATCGGTCCCGCACGCGAAGACGCGGAACGGGTGCGGCGACGATGCTGCAAGAGCGCCCTCTGACGCGAGCGTTAAAACGACGGGCAGCCGAGCAGCTACGACAGGAGGCGGACGAATCGAGAGCAAGTACGGGGGATGCGACTGCACAACCGAAATCGGGGTCGATAGGGGAGTCGAGGATGAGGGTCGGGGATGATGCTAATCTCATGGCAGTGTCCACGGAGGTGCCGAAAACAAAGAAAACCGTGACATGGGGTGATGGTGTAGCCATGGTCAAGTCACAATCGAAGGCGAAGCCGACGGCAATACCAGGAGAGGTCATGGAACGGCAACGAGAACGCAAGGGTAAGGGTACTTCGGGTCCAAGTGATGTAGGGGTGCAGATGTCCCTTAGTCTCGAGGACAAGCGGCGTGAGGAGAGGCGCCAGGCGGGCGACGCACGAGGAGCCGACGCAGCACAGTGGTAGCGCGAGAGTGAGCCAACGCTGCAGCTCACCGACGTCGAGATTGCAGATGCGCAACGGCGCAGCCGGCTGGTGCAGCGGATATTAGCGAACGGTGCTCACAAGGGCATGACGGTGGAAGAAGCGCATGGCTTGGTGGTCATTAACACGTCACGAGGTCGACGGGTCGTGTTGCCTCCGGAATTGTGGTCGACGGTGTTTAAAGAAAGTCATGATTCAATTTGGGCCGGGCATTTGCGGGCGACGCACACGCAAGCGCGGATTGCCCATGTGTATTGGTGGCCAGGGCTGCAAAAGGAAGTACGGCGCTGAGTCGCAGGTTGCCAAGAGTGTGGGAGCCGAAAGGCGCATCCGCGCGAGGTCGTACCGCCACTACGAAGTCTACGAGGTGGTGACGTGGGGGGCAGGTGGGCCTTGGATGTAGCTGGGCCCCTACCAGCAAGTGACGGTGGGCATCGGTACGTCATCGCGGCCGTCGAGTATGTCACGAGTTACGCAGTCGCGGCGTCAGTGAAGCAGCGCACCGCTGAGTCTGTTGCCATGTTCTTGATGAAACACGTGGTCCTACGGTTTGGGCCTTTTCGGGAGTTGCTCACGGACGGAGCGCCGGAGCTGACAGGGCGCGCTATCGAACGGTTAGTAGCATTGCTACAAGCTGAGCAAACTACACCGGTGCCTTACCGGCCACAGAAGATCGGGTTAGTGGAAAGGTTCCACCGTACGTGGAAGGATCTAGTGTCCACGTACATGCACACGGACGAACAAAACGATTGGGACAGCTGGGTAGACTGGGCTGTCTACGCCTACAACTCGGGGCGGCACTCGACGGTGGAGTTGTCGCTCAATGAGCTAATGATGGGGCGCCGGCTCCGTGCACCGAACGAGCTTCTTCGCGGCACCGGCTTGGCGGAAGTTACGGATTTGTCGGC